ATACAAATCTAAGGTTCATTTTAAGGCCTTTTTTTTTAAACCATGATACCACTAAAATAATCTTTCCAGAATGTAAATCTGACCATGAAATTCTCCTAATTCAATGGGTTCCCATTACCTATCATCACCAATGAAAACTTCTTAGCATGTCAGTCAAGACATTTCCCCGATCCCTGTATATTTTCCCCAGCTTCTTCTCTTGCCACCTGTCCTCTGGCGACCTGTGATCCTAAACTTTCCTAAGAGATCCATGCTTTCCTAAGCTTTGGAGCCTTGTAAATGACCTCCCTAGTCACATCTTCCCCCTCTGTCCTTGTGCACCCCGTGGAGTCTTTTTCAACTTCCAGCACTCAGCTCATGAACATTCTCCTGTGTGAATTTTCCCTTGGTATATAGACATTCACACTTGCCTCTTGGGTATAATAGGTGCCTCCCTTCTCTGTTCATATAGAGCTGTGTGCACATACTATAAAAACACTTACCATATATAGCTGGGCCCGTGGGCCATGGCCGCTGAGCCTGTGCGTCCGGAGCCTGTGCTCCGCAACGGGAGAGGCCACAACAGTGAGAGGCCCGTGTACCGCAAACAAAACAAAACAAAAAAAAACCACTTACCATATATAATAATTGTACTGTTCATACTATATTCTGAGTTCCTTGACAGTAGAGAGTTTCTCATTCATCTTTGTATTCCCACAACTTAACAGTGATTGTTCCATTGGAGTGTGCTGTACATTTCTTTCCTTTTAATGAATATATATTTGGATCAGCCATGTATACCTGGATATATTCCTAGATATGATGGAAAAAGCTATGACTTGGGTCCCTATGACAAATTTCCCTTCATGGCCACTGGGGCTGCTTCTTGACCTAGTGTGTGTGTAGTAGTTTTCTGCAACCTACTTCGGTACTTCCCTTTTCTTCACACTGATATTCACCTCTTGATATTCAAGGGTTTGCTGACAACTCTATGATTCTAGAAGAATAAACCTGTGGGTAAAGTGTTAACTACTCATTTAAAAGTATAGATCTAGCTGGCTTTATAGTTCACAAAGATTCATAAACTGATAGTTGCTTGGTCCTAATAATCTAACAATAGGTGAGATGTCTACCAGGTAGACCAAGAGGCTCTCCAGTCCAATATCTAACATACTGCTAGCTTATTTTAATTTATGGAAGACTTTCCATTAAAAGCCGACATTTAATATAATTTTAGTAACCTTTTTGACAGTGGAAGTTGAGGTCTAGGGATTATTTTAGTCTGCTCGGTGGCTATAACAAAATGCCATAGGCTGGGAGGCTTAAATAACAGACATTTATTTTTTCACAGCTCTGGAGGTTGGAAGTCTGAGATCAGGGTGCCAGTATGGTAGGGCTCTGGTGAGAGCCCTCTTCCTGGCTTGGGATGGCTGCCATCCAGTTGTGCCCACATGGCCTTTCCTCCGTGCCTACATGTTGGAGAGAGAAAACTCTGTTGTCTCTTCCTAGGGCATTAATTCCATCACAGGGGGCTCACCATCATGACCTCATCTATACATAATTACCTTCCAAAGACCCCCACCTCCAAATATCATCACATTAGGGGGTAGGGGTAGAGCTTCAACATATGAATTTGGGGGTGTGGGGGGGACAAAAACATTCAGTCTGTAAACTGATTAAATCACTTTCCTATGGGTACTCAAATAATCCAGTAGCAAGGAAAATGCTGACTTCAAAATATTGTTTTCTTTTCCCTAATAATTTGTCTTTTTATACCTGGGTACTCAAGTAATTAGCATTTTTGAAAAGCAGGACGTCACTAGTTCTCATTGATTGCCTCTGATGTATTTCCCAAAACATGAATCTTCCTTTAATGCTTATTTTTCATATATGTTTATCCATATTTCTCAACTGTTTTAGGGAAGGCAAACAATCTAGGGTCTCTTTCTCTTTTGCTCTTTCAAGTTTTCTTAGGGAAAAGAAAAGAACCGGGCTCTTGGTGCTTCTGGCAATTTTATTCTAACACAAGTAGCACCCAGATTGTAATTCTGATGACTATTCAGCTCTTTCTTGAAAAATTAAATTCACAAAACAATTGATTATCAGTTATAAATGGCAAAAACACCATCTGGTTTTCAAAATTGGTTAAATTCATGTAGCAAGGGGAAAAAATGTTGGAACTCATACTTGGGGAGGAGTTCTAGTCCACGAAGCAGAAAATGACGAGCTTTACTATGAGAAAGCCAGAGTAGTCATAACTTGTATCTAGCAGATGCAGGAATTTGATACGTTCTTCACATGTTCCATATGTTAAGTCATTTGGCAGGATCTTCAGTGTGAAAGAGCTGAGGGTGGCAGGGGAGTGTGGCTAGTGGATAGGGTAGCAACAGCTTCATCCTAAATTTTCAGCTCTGGTTGTTTCCATGAAGACGTAGTGCTAAAGATGTCCCATGACCTGGGAAATTGGATGTGCAAGTTCCTTAAATGTCTGGCAGGGGTGGCATTTTCTGGTGGAAATTTCTAAAGCTATCTGCATTCTTCTGGGGAGGTAAGTCATACAGCATTAGCATTTCCTACAGAAATGTCCCATGTTGTTCTTTGCCAACTGGAAATCTGCGTAGGTGTTCATTTGATGTGCCAAGAGAATGAAGGGAGATGAAAACACTCCACATCTTCCAATGTCCCCATACTGTGTTCCTAGTGTGGGAGGACTGGGGCCTGACTAGATTCTCTTGGAGCTACAGCCTCATGAGGAACGCTTTTCCTTAGGAGTATAATGCAATCCTGTTATTTAAAAAAATGCTTCTGAGTGGCTGGTATATTTTCACCTTATGTTAAAATGTAGCTTATGCTTATTATTCATGCACTGTAATGTGAAATTTATTCATTTACTTAACAAATATTTATTGAGGCCCAGTATAGCATAGTGGTTAATTGCATAAGCTTTGCACCTTACAAACCTTGACCTTAGGGCAATTGCTTAATCTTTCTGTGTTTAAAAAATACAAGATGGGAGAGAATACTGTGTGCCATGAGGATTGTTCCAAGGATTAAATGAGATTACACATGTAAAATACTTAATAAGAACTCAATAGATGCAAAAGTAGTAATAATAATAATAATAGCAAGTATAAATTTACGCTAGGGTGCTAGATTGACTGGGATATAGGAACTTACTTTATAGTTTATACATCTTTCAGCATACATATGGCCTCAATTTTTTTTATCCTGATTGTGGAGGCACTCTGCTTTGCATTTGGTCTGATCAAGGTAGCTTTACTTCTGGAGGTGCTAAGAATAGGTAAGACTTTGCGGACTGGACATTATCCCGGTGACCATGTGGTGATGGTTTCCTGCCTCATGTAGTGCTGTTTGCCTGCTGGAGCTTTCCAGACTTCTGGAGGACTGCCTGCAGTTCATGTATTAGGGCCTGTAATTACAGTGCAGAATATCCAGGCCTGTGAAGACAGGGTAGTCTTGAAATTAGTTTATGCATAATGGATAATAGGAGGCTGTTTTTAAGTGTAACTAATTTGGTGGGTTGGCAGATCTTGACTTCCTTTCTGGTATGTAACATTTATTTATTTCTTTTTTAGCAAGATGAGGACAGAGGGCTTCTCTAGACTATAGCTCAGACTTAGCAATTTACATTCAGTAATCTCTTGGTCATTTAGCCACAGATAATTTGTCATGGTTTGTTTTAGCTGTTGTGATATTGATATTTATTATGCAAATTGTATTTCCTACATCTTATTGTTCTGCATTCTATGAATACTTAAATTATTATAAACCTTTACACTTAATATGGCTCGTCCTTCAATTTGATGCTTGAGCAACAGAGGGTCAGAGCGCACACGTTCTTCTAGAGGGGAAGAAAATAAGTAATTAAAAAGCAGACAAACAAGAGAGCCGGCTGCCTGGCTCAGAAGAAAGCAAAGGCAATTTCGGGGAGGGAGAGCGAGTCCGAGAAGCGAGTCGCTTCAGCCTGGAAAGCCTCTCCCAGAGAGGCGGGAAGCTCAGAGCACCTGTTGGTCCCCAGCCGCCTTAGGCGGGACGAGGGGCAAAGGGGCGGCAGGGGGAGTGGGTTTGAGCCCTGAAGGAGGAAGATGGCAGACCTTCTCTTCACACCCCGTCTCCGCCCTCCACCCCGAAGCCTTCACAGAAAAGATTTTTTGTTGAGTGTGTGTAATCGTAATTATCTAATAATACATGTGCATCATGTATATTAAATACACATATATCACATATACATTAAAACCAGGAAGGAGACCTTCAGCAAGCTGGGGAGCCTGAGCCAACCCTCCTCGATCTACCTTTCCCGAGAATCTACCGCAAACACAGACTCGAAAATCCCAGATCCCGATTCCGGCTCCTTTCTCCCAACTATGCCCAAGTCTACCGCTAGGTTGTTGAGCGGGCTCTCCCGCTCCGCCGGACCTGCAAAGCACGCATGCACTTCTCCCAGATTGTTTTGTCAATCCGGGGACCTGCCTTCTCACTCTCTACTCCCGAACAACCCCCGTTTCGCAAAGATCTATTCCTACGGTGCAAGGTGCGTGACGGAAATTTGCAACGTTTTGTTTCCAGGCCAGTTGCACTCGGCGTACCGGGCAGGGGAGCCTCCTAGGGAGATTCTCGTCGTCTGGTTGATGTAGCGATTGCTATAAACATTCCTAATAAAGGTGTACGGGAAGCTAGACCCACCCCCGGAGCCGGAGCCCCTGTGCGCCAGGGGCCCGGGAGAACACTTTTTCCTTGATCCCGGGGAACCGAAAACGAATTTTAACATAAACATATTTGCATACGCCCCTCCCCCTGGCCCCGCCCCTAGGTGGCGCGGGCGCGCCGCCGAAGCCAGCGCCAGGGGGCGGGGTGGGGGAGGGGGTGAGTCCTCCGAGAGCCGGGTTCGGCTCGCGGCGATGTGATTGGTCGGTCTGGACTCCTCCTCCAGCGCATGTCATTAGCATCTCATTAGTTGTCCGCTTGGGCTCGGGAGGAAGCCACCGCCGCCAGTCTGAGGCAGGTGCCCGACATGGCGAGTGCTGTGCTGCCGAGCGGACCCCAGTGTGCGGCGGCGGCGGTGGCGGCGGCGCCTCCCGGTCTCAGACTCCGGCTTCTGCTGTTGCTCCTCTCTGCCGCGGCACTGATCCCCACAGGTAGGTGTGGGCACCGGCCGGTTGGCCCCCGAAATCTCCTAAGGCACCCCAGTGGCCGTAGCCATGGAGGGGGGAAACGTTTCCATGACAACCTTCCCCCACTTCCTAAATCCAAATCGAGGGAGTGTGGAGAGGAAACTCAGGGCTGAGAATGGAAGGGGTTGAGGGGATCGGTAAATCTCCTTTCCCTTGCCCAGCTCGCTGTGAATTAGAGCTCGTAGGGATGGCTGCACCCACACCTTTTCTCCCCGGCTTGGCGCGGGGCGCGGAGTGGAGTGAGAATGTGGGGCCCGGGGGCTAGAGAATATAGGGGAAGGGGGTGGATCGCAAGCACCCCCCCCACACCTTCCGGACCCTCCCTAACTCGCTGTTGTCCCCGTAACTTGCAGGTCCTCCCGCTTCCCCGGGCTGCCCATTCGCCCCCACCTCTCCAGCAGGCCCCCCATTCCCCATCCCCGAAACCTCCCCATGGCTGACTAGCGGCCCCCTCCAGCGCGATTCCTCACTGGTCCACAGGACATCTCCAGATTTGTCTGATCGCTCCTGCTTTCCCCGCGCTCTGCCTTTCTCCCCTGTCCACGAACAGCTCGCCCCTCGTGTCTCCTTCCAGCCGGATCGCGGCCCCTCCGCCCCCACCGCCCCCTCCGCCCGGCTGCGGGTCTCCTTGGCCGGGCTCCAGGCAGGGAAAGTTCCCCGGGCCCGGCCCCACGGGGGGGCGGTTGTTGTCGCCGCCTCTGCGGGAAGAAGCCGGGAACCCGTAGCCCGCCTGACCCACAGCGTCCTCCGCCGCGAGTGGGGACCCCGGATTTCCAGGCTGCCTGTCATTTTCGGCAGCTCGGGGGTGGTGGAGGGAGCGTTCGCGGCCTCTGCGGCCAGGCGGGCACCCTCCGGGCCTCCGGGCGTCCCCTGCGTGCAGAGCTGTCTTGGGAATTTGCCCAGGGGCGGCTCTGCGCGCCCTGCTCCTTCCCTGAAGATGCGGAGCACTCGGCTGGAGCACGCTGTTTGGCTGACCGTGTGCCGGGCGCGTTGGCGCGGTCGGGAAAGAAGAGGGCAGTGTTTGCTTTTGCTAACAAAAGGGAGCTGGAGCTCTTCCCCAGCGGAGAGCCTGGCCGTGCTGCACCCTGCCTCCCCTTCCCACCACCGCCGCGCTTGCTGGCCGCGCGGCGTCCCAGCGCCCCTGGCCGCCTGCTGCGGGCTGGGAGCAGGGAGCCGGGACTCCAAGGCGCAGGGCCGCGGGGGGCGGGGAGGTGCAGGAGGGGATGCAGCAGGGCTCGGCGCCTGCAAAGCCCCTCCTCGCAGCTCGGAAGCCGCAGGACCCGCGAGCAACAAGTGGCGGAGGACACCGAGAGCTCAGCCCCCACCTGCGGAGCCCCCGACCCGGGCGGGTGCAGCGCCGGGGCCACCGTGCCGCTCCCGGGGTGCCTCTCCGCTTGGGCTGTGCCTTTTGTTTACACGCTAGAGGACACACAGTTACATAAACACCGCAGGAGACACGCTGTAGGAAATGGGGAGATCTGGGGGTGCTAGCTTTGGATTTGGGGGGATGCCGGGGTGGTTGCTTTCCCCTCACTCCTCAAGACAGGCTTGCAAGGGAGCTCGACTTGAGGAACCTATCGGGGATCCATAGAGGTGGGAATCTGGCGGCAGCTTCAGTTCCAGAGCTGAGGATTTTTTCTTCCATGCCACTGCCTCCGGATGTTGTTTATGTGTTTTTGCACTGTGAATTCTTAATTTATGAGTTACGAGATAATTGGGTTCAGCCGATGCCGGTGTGGTTACAACTTCATTTCGGGTGATGTCTCTGACTCGATGGGTTCAATGAAATGTTCCTGAAAGAGATCCCTGGTTCTGCTGCATTGTAAAAAGCGCCAGTGTCGGTTAAACGTGAGCGTTACAGGCTCGGTAACTGGCGCATAACAGAGGCAACAATACACTTGTATTGGCTGCAAAAAAAAAAAAAAAAAAAGGGGGGGAGGGGACAAGCGCTGGTCGGGATATTGTCTTTGGACTAAAAATGGGAGCCGTGCAATGCCGCTTGCCAGCAGAACAGCATCAGATTATACCTCCTCTGTCCAGCCTGCTCATTGAAGGCTCCGGGTAGTAGCAACAGTACTGTATTTGTAACTATCTCGCGGTAAGAAGTTGCCTTCCCAGCGAGGGCTATATGCTGACTTAGAAAGGAGCGGTCTGGAACTCAACCGTGCATGTCAAAGCTACAAGAAAATTCTGTTGCCAGTTGCCATGGAAGCAGCTTCCTGCTCCTGTGTACATCCCTGTTTGTACGCTGTTATCAGATTGTGTTCAAATTAGAAAGTAATTGGGTTTGATTTGTAGTGAGGGGGTGAGGCGCCTTTCTTTAAATCTTTCTTTTTTCCTTTTAATGCGTTTTTTGGTGCTGAGTTTGAGAAGGGGTCTTGGCCTAGCCCCCAGGTCCTAGTCCCGGAGAGTAGATTTCAGGTGGGGACCAGGGGACTTCTCTTCTTTACTCCTCTTAGTTTAAGCTTTCTCAGAGACCTCCAGTTCCTACTCCCAGGATTAAAGAAACCTGTTGGCGTTGCCTTTTAACTTCATAAGGCTTGTTTCATTTACAGCCTTGCTGGAATAGCCATCAAGGGCCATTGTGCAGTGGGTCCAGGTTCTGTCTTCCCCTGTAACTGAATCCATTTATCCTCTGGAGAAAATCTCTCATCCCTCCTGTGGTGTTTGGATGAAATGGATGTTAATGAAATGCAGCTAAAATGGGCTTGTCAAAGCTCACTCCTCAGTGTAAATCACGCCCGTTTAGTTTGGGATGCTTGCATGATGTTGTTTCTGACCCCCAGTGAACCCGTGGTTGATCACCCTCCTCTTACATTTTCAGCAGTAGAGAGGATGGCAAATGGGTGGGGATGTGTGGTGGTGCTGGGAAGCCCAGGAACTGAGTTTTTGCTTGTCGTGGCCTGTTGGGGCTTGTGTACTGGGGAGAGGGACTTTACAAAAGTGCCGCCCTGCTATTGTCGCCTTTCCCTGCATCAAATCCAATAGCTGCGGGAGGGACTTGCACTTGTCTGTGATAGCTTTGATAAAATATCCCTCATTTAATGCCACTTTATATTTACAGTGTGTCACTGGAGACGCACAAGGCTTCATTTAGTGACTTGTGTGACGAGACAAGCTTGCATTATTTGCCTGGGACATTTTGGAGGAACAAGGGACCCATTGAGCAATCTTTTGAAATGAACAAATACGAAAAAAGGGGGGAATAAAAGAGCAGGCAGTTCTCCGGAACAAAGAGCTTTATTCATATGGATGTTGTACATGCTTTATCCAGTTTTCCCAATGGCCCTCCTGGTAAAGGCGAGTGGGACAGGGAAGAAGCCAAGGCAGGACACTGGCGCTTCCTCTCTTTTTTCCTGACTTCATATTCTTATCTGACTTTGCCCTCGACTCCCTGGACTCCCTGCCTGCTCTGCTCAGCTTGCTCGGCTCCCTCTAAAACCCCAGAAGGTAATGGGTTCCTGGGTCTAAAAAGGAGATTTTGAAATCCTTTCTCCCAGCTCTGAATTACAGCGGAAGAAAGTGCTAGTAGCTACCTGTTGAGATGGATGGTCTTCGGCGGACATATCGGTTGAATGGAAAGAGATGTCACTTTTCTGTGACATGTGTCAGGAAGTGGTTGACAGTGAATGTCAGATGGGTAAGAGGTCTTGCAATTATAATATTAGCCTTACTATTTATTTTTAAAGAAATGCTGTGAAAACTAAAATCCAAAATTTTCATGATCATGAATGGTGCTCTTGGAGTTTTCAGTGACTTTTGCCCACACCTGGTACATTTTGGCCTTATTATACATAAGTGAATTTTTATTATTCCTTGGCCTATATTGCTAAGTGATTTTCAGGCTTTAAAAACTTGATAATATTGCTGTGAATATAAACTCAATCTCTCAGTTTCTGTATGTGACATATTAATGCTTAATTGGCCACTTAGAATTTACATTTTAAAAATGGTTTTGTGTGTGCCTGTGTGTTTAACGGAAGGCCCATTTTTATGCAGGGGGATCTCTTAAATTGCACCAAACTAATCAATGTTATGATTTGAATGGAAATTTACCAGTATATAAAGAAATTTTATAAAAAATAAATCCAAAGGATTCAAATGTTGTATCTCTTTCTTGGGAAGAATAGTACTGACCATCATGCTGGGCATTTTCAACTGAAAATCCAGCATAGAAAGGAGAAATCACACAGCGACATCTGTTGCAGAATTGAAAATTTGCTGCTTCTAGTTGCAAGCAATTAGTCCCATATACGCACCTAATGGTATCAGCCTGTGTGTGTGTGTGTGTGTGTGTTTGTGTACTCACACAAATATGTATGTATCCACATGCATATATGTATATATATGGACGTATACAGAAGCTCAGCCAGTGTTCATAGTCACATTTAAAATTATTTAATAGAAAATATAACATTTTAATGCAAAGTTCTTTTTCTTAATATCACCTGTTGAGGAACTAGAGATTCTTATAATCATGGAATTTTTGAAAGGGGAAGGATATTAGAAATCATGTGGCAACGTCTCATTATTTTGCAGTGAGGCAGCCACAGCCCAGAGAGGGAGGGACCGTGCTTACCGCTGAACTGAGGCTGAGTTAGCTGTGCTTCCAGGATAGGGAGCTGGTCTCCGGAGAGCCAGCCAGTGAAGCTTCTCTTCCACCTCCCAGCAGGGATGCCCAGTAAGGGATATGCATCGTGGGTAGATGGTATCTTGGGTAGGAAGAGTTTGTATTCTGAAGGCAGCAAGAGTAATTATTGCTCTACGTAATAAACCGATGGATCAGAGGTGTGACCTCTGGGAAGAAAGGACCGGTTTTTGTTAAGGTTGTCTTTAGTGTTGACAAATCATTCTGAAACCTCTGGACGTCATGTGGCAGCCACACGTGAATGTTGTTGTCCAAAGCACCTGAGTAGAGGAGAGCTCTGGATGTGTGTCCCGGTCGTTTAATGTTGTTGTCCAAA